AAAAGCAAACACCAAGGAACTGGCTGCTGCATCCAGCAACGTTCTCTGCCTGCTCTTCACAAGGTTTGACTTTTAGCGTGCAGTCCAATATCTACATATCATGAGCTGCACACCATCCTTCTCCTGGTGCCCTGCAAAGGGATCGGGGGTGTGTGTGCACGCATCACCACAGGTTGCTAGGTGCGCCTCCAGGTGTCCCCCCCCCCCAGCAGTCACTGGTAACTTGTACAGACAGGCCAGTTTTGCTTCCTACCTCCAGCCCCTCATTGGACCGCACAGCTGTTCAACTAATCGTACATCAGATTCCGTAATTTCCCTCTACAGTGCAGTTCACTGAAGACGCGTCCCAAATTATGAATGAACTGAATTGGTTACTGGAAACCAAGGGCGTAGTTCCATGGGAGGAAAGCCCAAACAAACACAAACATTATTAAATCATAAAAAAATAAAGATTTGGCATACTAAGCAGTCACAAGAAAAGTAAATCTTTAGGGGTTCCCAGGGCACTGCAACCGTCGTCTTTTGTTGTGTTCCCCACCTGTTTGAATAGAAACTCATGCTTTCAGCTACCCTCCTCTCTCTTGCAAAGGTCTCTGGCTAAGGTCCAGAGGTCATTTCGGGGGGGATCGCGGGGGATCGCAGTTCCCCCGGGTGAGGTACGGGGGGCGGGGCACATGACGAAGCCCCGCCCCCTGCTTCCGGCCGCCCCGCTTCCGGCCCTCATTCAGCCAGGAGGAGGCAGGAGAAGAGGGAGGGTAAGTTGCTTCCTCCCTGCCTCTCCCCATCCCTGCCTGCCTGGGGCCAGGGAGGGCCTTTGTGGGGCTTCCTTGCACTCCCGCTGGCCTTGCAGGTCCACCGCCGGGCCCCTCATGGGGCTCGGCAGTGGAGCTGCAAGGCCGGCAGTGGCGGCCGGGACCGTTGGGGGCAGGGTGTGTGGCCTTATGACACACTTCCGGTGATGTCAGGGGGTGTGGCATATGCTAATGAGTCCCCCTAGCTTTTTTTCTACAAAACGACCCCTGCTAAGGTCCAACAAACCAGGCAAAAAGATCTGCAAACCCAAGGGGGTTTCGGATGGAGTGTTTCCTGAGCATCCCCACCCCATTCCACCTGAGACTGGGAAGGGACCACAGCTCTTTGGAAGAGCATCTGCTTTGCATGTTGTAGAAGGTCCCAGGTTCAATCCTGGCACCTCCATTTAAAAAAAAAAAAAAGATCAAGCAGCAGCTGTGAAAAACTTCCATGTGAGAGCCTGGAGTAGAGACCCACGTGAGATCTAGTCAGAGCAGACAATACTGAGCTCAAGGGTCTGACTCTGTATAACGGTAGAACAAAGTCTGACACCAGTGGCACCTTTAAAACCAACAAAGTTTAATTCTGGGTATACGTTTTCATGGACATGCACACTTCTTCACTTCACCTAGACCCAGAATTAAACTTTGTTGGCCTTAAAGGCGCCCCTGGACTCAAACTTTGTTCTACTTCTTCAGACCAACATGGCTGCCCACCTGAATCTATCTGTATAAGGTAGCCAAGCATGTTCAGATAATCCCACAGCAAGCCACTTTTTCAAAAAACCAAGGAGTTTCAAAGACCGTTTGCAATGCCTCGTGGTAGCCCGCAGCCCAGAGAGAGGGAAAATCCAACTGGGGGCCATACGAAGGACCTCTGAGTTGCTGAAGCCACAACTGAGATTTCAGCTCCAGGGTTCCTTGTTTTTTTGGAATGATTGAAAACCAAAACGAACTGACTGCCGGAGAACCTTGTAACCCCCCTCGCCCCACCTTCAGGTGCCTCCTGAGAGAAGCACAAAGGATCTTAAGAAAACTAGGCTGGAAAGGGCTTTTAGAGCCAGCATCAGCTGGAGCAAACAGCATTCAGAACGGCTGCCAGTCAGAAGAAACTATTATCGGGAGTAGATGGAGATGTCAGCTGATGCAGTAGAAGGCAGCAGAGTTGTGTTCCCTACATGACATTTCTACAGAACAGACACCTCCAGCTCCATAAAACCGAGCAGTCTAATTATCTAATTTACTCACACACCTGCCCACACGGCTCCTGTTAGATTCCTGCATCATTCATCTCTTGTATTTTTAGCCTGCCCTTTCTCCAGAGCATCCTACGTGGCTCTCTCCCTTCCTACATTTTATTTTAACAACCCTGTGTTTGAGAATTGCTGGCCGAAGGTCACCCAGCAGGACTCACAGAAACAGGAACTTGAACCCAGGAGAAACCCCCCCCCCAACACCCTGATACACTGACTGGCCGTTGTATTCTACCTGCTTGCAATGACTGCATTGTCTATTCACCTGTCTACAATTCATACTCCTACAAGGGGACTAGGCAAGGTCTATCTATGTTATTGAAGGCCCTTTGAAAATAGACTGCAAAGTCCTTTGAAATTACAAAGCAGGAAAACAGCAGTCTTAGTACCCCCAATTTCTTGATGGAAAAAACATTTTGCTTCATTTAACTTTTTGATGGACAAGGGAAATTGGAAGGGGGAATTAATCACAGCAGATGTTCCCTTGCAGGCACCCTATTGTTTGCTCACTTATTGTCCAGATTTTTATTTTTGTTCAAAAAGATAATGGACCACTGCATGGTGCTCCTACCCCATGCCAGTTCCCTCTTCTAAACTCTGGCTTTCCCCTCTCCTCAGCTCTTCATGCACGGAATGTTTCTCACCTTCACCTTCAGAAGCCTGCCTTCAAGCAGCCACAAACTCGATGGGCCTTTTCTAACCCAGATGTAGAGTGCCCCCCCCCCACTCTTCACTAAAAAACAAAGCAAAACTCTGGCCAGCTTTTGGGAGTGCGCGGAAGTGTCTGTTCACACACTTGCTGCTCCTCCTTGAAGAACTGGAGCAGAAAATGCCTTTTCCCCCGCCCCTCTTCTTCAGGCTTCTCCTTTGTTCCGGGGGCCAGTCAGACACCCATTGTGCACCATGTGCAGGCGGAGGCCGGCCCGGCCGGGAGGCACAACAGCAGGCGGGTTGGAACTGGAGAAATCCCCTTTGTGCTTTGGCTCCCCCCCCCCCCTCCTTTACTACCCAGATCGAGGGCAGAGGTATAAGTCACAAAGCACCAATTGTAGTATGGTCCCCAGAGAGCTGACAGACAGACAGATGCGGGCAGGGAAAACACCAGCAGACAATCTGCCACTGATGGAAGGGGGGGGGGGGCAAAAGCCCACACAGCTGGCACTCAACAGGATAAAATCCAGGGAGGAAGATCCCACACCATGGTGGAGGTATAACCCCAGCTGTGTCCGTCTCCCTTTCACAGCCCAAACACACACACATCCACACAGTCAGGCTTCTAGCAGGCTTCCTCAGTACGTTTGTGACACTTGTGGTGGAAGTGCTAAAGGTTTGACTTTCATGTCCCCAGGCGCAAACTTCATCGAGGCCCGTTTGCTTGGGAGCAAGCCCGATGGGAAGCAGTAGAAATGTACCTCCGTGTACGAACATGCCTTGGAAGCAAGCTCCTCTTTCCGTCTGCAATATGCACGAATGGTGGTTTGAATGTCTCACATTAAAGTTCTGAGATGGCTTAGAAAACCTTACGTGAATGCGAGCCTATGGAAGGGTGCGGATCTGCTGCTCTCTTCCGTACACGAAAGTCAGAATGGCAACATGGCATAAAAACGCATTCATATGTAGTCAGTTAGTGAAGGCAGGGGTTAAAAGGAACTGTGCATGGCCGCCGCCTCCTCCCCTCTCCAATTTGTTCCAGAGGCATGCACAGCTGTGATTCATGTTACAGTAAAGCCCAAAAGGGGGAGGGGGATGACAACCTTGTGGCATATTTTAGCATGACAAATTTTAATGAATGAGAGCCCCAGCCCCTAGCAAACCTATTGGGCTTTAAGACACAACAGCGCAAGAGATCTGGACCCTCTCATGTGTAAGCAGAATCATGGTTCCTCCTATGGAAAGTACACCCATGAAGCTGCCCTGTGACCATCAGGCTACCGGCCTATCAAGGAGTCTTGTCTCTTCTACCCGACAGCGACCTTCCATGACCACCACTACTCTTGCCCTACCTGGATTGCAATGGATCTCATCAGATCTCAGAAGCTAATCAGGGTCTGCTGTGGTTAGTGCTTGGATCAGAAATAACCAAGGAGGTCCATGACTGCTATGCAGGCAGGCAAACAGCAAACCACCTCTGTTCATCTCTTGCCTTGAAAACATGTTGGGGTTCTTAAGTCTGTTGTGACTTCATGTAAAAAAAAAAATAGTGCTGTAGCCTTGGAGAACCTGGGAACTTCTGCCTGCAAGACGGATAACTACGGTATTACAATCACAACGTCCAGGTTAATTCACAAGCCCCACTAATGAGACTTATTTGGGGGGGGGGAGAACCTGCATAGGACTGCAGCTGAAGAGATAAGCACTGACTCACAAAAGCTTATAATGAAATAAGTTCTGTCGGTCTTTCAGGTGCCACTGACTTTGGTTTTGTTCTACATAGGACTGCAGCCTCCACAGCAATCCCCCCCCTTATATTTAGAATCCTTTACGTTTTCTGAATGGGACTACTGCTGTGCATGAATAAGTTTTAGAACAAAGGTACTCATGCGTCACAATGCCAAAGAACTGCTCTAGCCGTGGGACTTGATTGTCCTTGGAGGACCAAGACAACGCAGTGCCTTCTTCTGCCTTGGAAGCTAGGAGATTAACAGAAATAAAAGGCTTGTTTTCCTTGGTAAGCAGCCGCCGCAGCAGAGGGAGTGGCTCCATTAAGCACAAAGGCACTCAATCCCCCCCCCCCAAACTGGTGAGTTAAAAACCTTGACATGATTTGACAAGTCAGTGGTACGGATATACTGCCCCCTCCTGGGCCCAGATGTGTCAGATCCTTGAAAAATAATTCCACTTAATTACATGATTTTCATAGCGGTTAACATACCATGAAATGTTTTTACAAGCAGTTATTTGTGTTCACACCCAGCCTGAAATGGAAGTCATTAATGCTTTAATATTTACTGGGGGAGGGAGAGAAAAGGAACAGAAGCCGAAGGGACTTGAAGAGAATCATCCCCCCCTGCCCACCATACCCTCTCTGGTCTCCGAACAAGAATTTAGGGAAGCGCCTCAGCAACTGGACAGAAGACTTACGGAAGAAAACAGGATAGCAGAAAACAGGGAGAAAGACCTTCTAAATGGTTCCTACTTTCAACAGAGAACACAACAAGTTCAGCTTGTCCCTCCTTTGTGCACCAAGAAAGTGGGGGAAGCAACGGAGTGAGTGTTCCCGCCATTCAGAATAGGAATCTTTTGGAATCTCCTGGTGTGCAGCATTCCGTGTTAGCCAATGCTTCTCATTCTGCAGAAACCTTTAGTTTGTAGTTCAAAGGACTGGAAAGAAGAGGCCCTGAACAGTTGGAACAATATCAACATTCCTCTGTGACCACCCCCCCCAGCTGCCATTGCAAAGTACCCCAATCTTGCCCCCCTCCCAGTCTTCACCTAGGGAGGCCTTCGGAGGCAGCCCTGAAAGAGAGTGCAACAAGGTGGGGAAGGAGAGGGGCTGATTCTGGGTATCGGCAGTGGAAAGAGGAAGCTTGCTGGCAGCATCATTTGCCTGGATACTGTGCTGGGGATGAGGAGTGGCCTGTGACGGCTCTAACAGAAGGAAACTCTGCGAGAGCCTCGAGTGTTCACAGGCCTACTTCCCCACAACCCTGGGCCCAAAGTTACCCTTTTATTCCCAGCCCGTCCCTGAAAAAAAACAGTACCAAAAATCGGTACAAAAGTGGGACTAGATGGGTGACTAGCTTGGAAAACGAGATCTCCAGAGAGCAACTCTGAGTTTATTTACAAAATAACCGACGTCATTAGCCAGAGGCAATAAGCGCATGACAGCCCACAGGTGCCTGGCCGTGAGGAGGTTCAGGTGGGGTCAGAGAGGGGCAGGGGTTTAAAAACAAACACAACAAAAGACAGTGACTGACAGATGCTGGAACTAGAACTTGAATTCCTTGTACTTCTTGGCACCGGCTCTGGTGTCCTGGGGCTGGGCTTTCCGCTTCTTTTGCTGCGGGAGCAGAGAGAGAGAGAGAGATAGTCACAGCATGGTCTAGCTACCAGGCCACTGCCAGAATTTGTTGCAGCAGGAAAATTCACACACACTTGAGTATCTCTCTTTTGCCACTACCCTCTTTTCCTACCAGGCAAAAGCAAACACCCCCCCCCCAATTTTTGTGCTTTGCCCCTCCCGCCACCTCCTCCTCTCCTCCATCCCAATACAGATTCATACTCCTTGACTGTCATTGTTGCCCTCCACCCAACCAGTCTACCACCCCTGTATCACTGACCCAGAGTGGTCTCTAAGCCACCCAAGTCCAATGTGAAGGATGCCCACTAGTTACCCAAGACCTTTCCCACTTCCCTCAGGGGAGCTGCACTTTGGGGGGGGGGGGCTGCTGGATTTTTTATATGTACGTGTGCATGCATGCGTGAGAGTGTGCGCGCACCTGGAAGTCATGGCGATCTCTGGTGACTGACCCCTACTGGGGGCCTGGAGGATATTCAGAGAGGTGGCTGAATAAAGCCTGCCCCTGCCTCCTGTATTCCAAGGAGGTCTCCCATCCAAGTACTTGTCAGAGTCGATCCTGCTTAGCTTCTGAGATCTGATGAGATTGGGCTTGCCTGGGCTATCCAGGTCAGTACAGAGCAGCTGCACTTTTTGTCAACATTCCATGACAGCCACTGCAGTCAATAGTGGGCTTTTAATACACATTGCGTTAGAAAACGGCCTCACCTTCTGCTTGGCAGCATGCTCGGCCACCATGTCGCTGAAGTCCTCCTTCTCCACCTGGGCCTGCTGCTCCCGCACATGCTCCTCGTACTTCTGTGTCATGGCCATAGGGTCCAGCTCCAACTCCTCAGGGGCCAAGGCCACCTCCACGCCCTGGATCTCTGGCACTGGCCCTTTGCGGCTCATCACCTAGCAGGGAGACACCAGAAGGGTCAAGCAAGAAAGCCTGAGCGACGCTGCAATCTGCCGCCAGCCGGAACTCGCCCCCTCCTTACCGTCGTCATGTCATAGATGTGAGTGGAGCCCATCATGGCACCACCTACAGTCGCCGTCCTCTTTTCTGGGAGCACCGTGAACAGCTGCGGCGTCTCACTGCTGCAGAGGACAAGAGGAAGGAGGAAACAACACAGCATCACTGGAGTGGACAGGACAAAGCGGCTGAGTGGAGATTAGGGAGGGAGGGAGGATCACTCAGGACTCTCTGATGCTACCCTGTCCCCTGCAGCCTGTAGGGCTGTGGAGGACTCTGAGCTGAAAGAACTGGAATTCTGCACCGTGTTGTCAGCAAGCTGCCAAATTTCTTTTATTTTGGTTTTCCTATGTATGCGCTTAATTGCTTAGCTGCTGGAACGTGTATATCTCTCAAGGCCACAGGTGGTTGCTGCTGGATAGTTGCTTTGGTGATCTCACGGAGGGCCGTGGGAAGGAGATATGTTATGCCGCCTAGAAGCGTTTGCTCCCAGGCCCGATGGCACGCGCGGGAAGTCCCGCAATTGGGCCTCAGTTATTTGAATGTACTATAGATGCTGTGCGGAAGCCTGACACATGTACATATCCTGCATACTCACCTAATTCAGGTGCATTTGTTTTGTAAGATTACATTTTCCTAGTCCAAAAGCGAGTGAAAGTGACTCTACAGAGCACAGATCCACTGTTTCCCCACTTAGTCCCCCCCTCCCCCAGTTTCAGTACAAATTCTTTTAAATTGTTTTCATAAGGCATAGAGACCCCGTTTTAAGAAATCCGAGATTCTTTCGATGCCAAATTCAACACTTCCCAACTTTGCATGTGTGGGGAATTGATTGGATATGCACAACCTCTGATATGGAGAAATGCTCTGAAAACAGCGGCCCATAGTCTCAGGGACAGGAACGATGCTTCCCAAGACCTGCTACCCTAGAGATACTGCAGATGGAAAGCAAGCACTTTGGCAGCGCGCCACGGATCACTTCTTGGGGGGGGGGGCCCTCGTGGGACAGGTGCTCCCCAATCACATTCTCTGCTATTTTAATAGCTACTTACGGAGCAATGCTGGCTGGGAAAAAGGCCAACAGCCCTCACCAAACCCAAGTTCTGGCTCCCCAAGGGCTGTCCCTTCAGATCGGAGAGGGACGAGTCAGTACGTACCCATCCATGGCTTCCTCGATCTTCTTCTTACGCAGTTCAATGAGTTCAGGCGTTTCCATACCAGCAGGCACTGATGAGAAGCCACCGGGTGTGATCAGGCCGCTAGGGAGAGATCAAGTGGTTAAAAATCCAGCTGGTTCTACCAGCCCCACTTATATCCCTCCACCCCACAGGCAAGACTGTCCTCTGCATCCCGTTCCACTGCAGAAAAGAGGCAGCGCCTACCTGTCTGCTGGCGTGATGAAGCCTGTCTCATCTGGTTTCTCTTCGTCACTTTCCTCATCCTCTTCTTCCTCAGACGACTCTTCATCAGAGGGCTCCAGTTCCCCCCATGGCGTCCGGTCAATCTCTTCTTCCTCTGTCTTGGTCTAAGGAATGGAAAGGGCAAAAGTGTGCATCGGTGCCAAACCCTCTGCACAGCACCTAGCACATGCCAAACGGAGGGGGGAGAAAAGCTAGTTCTTTTCCCACGTTGGCACCACCAGGCATAGAGGCATACCTGGAATTCAGCGGCATTGGTCCCAAAGACGTCTCCATAGAGCGGTTTCCCAGTCTCGTCCACAGGGGGTTTGCCCCAGCCCCCAGCATGGTACCCAAATGAGCATCCCTGGAAGGAAAGGAGATACAAGAGTCACTTGCTGCCTCCTTCAACCAAAGGCGGGAGGAGTTGAGAAGGGACCCTACAATTTGCCTTTAAAGCAGTGTTACTTCTCCACATGGTCTCCAAACACCAGCAAAACTCCCTTGTTCTACTATTGATTGGACAGTTTCTTGAGAATCAGGGTTGTGTGTGCGTACCACCGGTGCGCTGCAGAGGTATTTATTGGCATGAACACCTTTCTGACTGGAGCAGCCTAGCAGGGGAGCCATAATTACTCTTCCCCACCACTGGGGGTGCTGTAGGCTGCCTCAAAAAGGCAATATCCAAGCCTAGGGGACTCACTGATAAGCTCCCCCTTGCCTTATGGCCCCTTCTAGAAAGCTACCCTGCACTGTGGAAGACACAGCTGCTTTCCCAGAAAGATAAAGTTTGCTGCGCCGCCTTGCCCATGGTATTAAATGCACTGCGGAAGCCATTTAGAAACTTCAGTGCATTTCTTAAAGCATCATTGATTCTTCAGTTTGTATAACGTAAGTTATGCAGTGAAAGCAGCTTTGGAATTTTGGTTTTTACGATTCTTTGTCATTTAGACAATGACTGGCCCCCAAAACAGGACAGGCATTTAAAGAAACATGCAACTTTAGAAAAAACTGTATCTGCTTTAGATCAAGATGGGTAGACATGTTGGTCTGTCTGTAGCAGCAGAAAAGAGCAAAGAGTCCGGTAGCACCTTAAAAACTAAATATGTGGCAGGGTTATGAGCTTTTGTGAGTCACTGCTCACTTCTTCATATTATTTATTTATTAAATTTATACCCTACCCCCCAAAATGGGCTCAGGGCGGCTCACAACATAAAATCAACAAATCTTCAAAACAATAAACAATAAACAGCAATAGCACATAGCCAAGCCCCATTAGAACATAATTACCCTAGAAAACTCCAGTGCCCAGATGGTGTCCAGACACAGTAGGGCACTAGAAAAAGTCAAACAACAGTGCTATAGACAGGACAGGGAGGCCAGAATAGATTGAATGCCTGCTGCCTCAACCAAAGGCCTGGTGGAACAGCTCCATTCTACAGGCCCTGCAGAACTGTGCCAAGTCCCGCAGAGCCCTGATCTCAGATGGGAGCATGTTCCACCTGGTTGAGGCTAAGCAGATGTCTCTCGGACCAGGGACCACCAGGAGATGTTGACCAAAGCTCTCCGGGGCTCATAGGTCCCGCAGGTATGATGGTCCCCCCAGGCTGCATAGGGCTTTGAAGGTCAAAACCATAACCTTGAACCGGATCCAGTATTTGATCAGCAGCCAGTGCAGTTGGGGCAACACCGGCTGAATGTGCACCCGCACAGGCGTTGCCAACAAAAATGTGCTGCCACATCCTGCACTAGCTGCGATTTCCAGATCAAGCTCAAGGGTAGCCCTGCGTAGAGCGAGTTACAGTAGTCTAGCCTGGAAGTGACCATTGCATGGATCACTGTGGCTAAGTCCTGGGAGGCAAGGTAGGGAACTAGTTGCCTGACTAGCCGGAGATTATAAAAGGCCGATCTGGCAACCGAAGTGACCTGGGTCCCCATAGTAAGTGAGGAATCCAGCATCACCCTGAGGATCCTTACCTCCAGCGCTGGCACCAACGGTGCCCCACCGAAGACTGGGAGCCTGATTCCCAATCCCCGCCCCCCACGACCCAGGTACAGGACCTCCATCTTTGCTGGATTCAACTTCAGCCGACTCTGCTGCAACCCTCCAGCCACAGCCACCAACGCCTGGTCCAAGATATCTGGAGCAGAGTCCTGCTGGTTGTCCATCGATAGACAGAGCTGGGTGTCATCGGCATATTGATGACAACCCAGTCCAAACCCCCGGATCAATTGGGCGAGGGGGTGCATACAGATGTTAAATAACATCATAGGATCGCTCCCTGCAGTACCCCACATTTCAGCAGATATTGCGGGGACATTCTCTCCCCTAGCGCCTCCGTCTGTCCCCGACCATGGAGAAAGGAAGAAAGCCATTTTAAAGCAGTCCCCCATATCCCAGTCTCGGCAAAGCGGTGGGTCAGTAGATCATGGTCGACCATGTTGAACGCTGTTGTCAGATCTAAAAGCAACAGCAGTTCCGATCCGCCTTTATCCATATGCCTCCGGAGATCATCTGTGAGGGTGACTAGCGCAGTCGCCACCCCATGGCAAGGGCGGAAACTGGACTGGAAGGGATCCAGTATGGAAGCATCATCTAAGAGAGACTGTAGCTGTTCAGCCACCGCCCTCTCAACTACCTTGCCCAGAATTTGGTTTGTACTTGCTACAAATGAGACCAAGAGGGACCCAGCAGCATGCCCAGGACTCCTGACTATGCTATTCTAAAACGTCAAGCTCCTTCAGGCGGTAGAGAGAGTCTGCAAAGAGCATGGGCCATGCCAGGTGAATCTAAGCAAGGCTTCCAGTGATTCAGGGTGAACTCTTATCCCTAGCAGGTTCAGAGCTTGGGAGAAGCAAGGAGCTCCATGCAAAGCTGGCTGGGCTACAGAATCTCTCTCCCCAGAGGATCACAAGGGCTGGGCTACCACCAGTAACACAGGCCACCAACCTCTACTCTGTATTGCCAGAAGTTATGCCTACAAAACCTCCTCTCTTTTGGCAAGGCAGCCAAGATGTCCCCACCCCACTCACCTCTGGGATCGGTGAATTCAAGCCTGGAATCTTCAGATTGGGATAAGAGGGTGGCGGGCCGTAGCGCTGCATGGCAATCAGCCACGGAGGTGGTACCTTGTGTGCATTCTGCATTATCCCCCCAAAGAACAAAGCGTTAGCCTACAGAAACCTTCCTGGATACATACACTGTCCCTAGTTCCACTGATCCCCGTCCTGCCCATCATCCCAGCCCTGCCCACTAATATCACCTCCCCCCCCCCCACCCTCACCAGCATTCATTACTTGCCCTTTCCAAACACCTCACATCAATCCCAAAAATGCACCACCACCCCCAGGCCAGGCCACTGCTATTCCAAACCACCCACCAAATGACGCCAGAGACAGAATGGCCCCTGGCTCCTCCCTGCATGGCTTCTGGCACATTAAAGCTCTCAAGCACTCACCATCCAAACAACGGCCATTCCAAATGGGGTTGACGTATTGGGAAGGTGGGGAGCAGGGGAAAGAGGGCGTCAAACACTGCATTCTAAAAGGTAAGCAGTTCTGAGGGCCTTGTGGTCAGAGTGCAGGGTATATAAACCGAATTAACCAACAGCTGGATCCATACCCACTAAAATACATTACAAGCTCTTCCAATACTGCCTAGGAAGACAGTGCCTCTGAGGCCTTTATCAGGTGGCTCCAGACAAAGCCCAAAGCAGCCTCACTTCTTGCCACTCACCGGCCCCACAGGCATCCCCAGCGCAATGCGCAACTCGTCCGACAGGTCTCCTGGTTTCTTCTCCTTGAGTCGGGTCTCAAACTCCTTGCCCTGGCAGGGAAGGAGAACAATCAGCGAGGGACTGGCCAGGATTGCTCCTCCTTGCCCCTTGTTTTAATACGAGTAGTCAGAATTGTTTTATTATTAATATGTTGTTACAGTATTTTATTGCAATTTTACTGTAATTTTATGCTGTTTTGTAAACCGCCCTGAGCCAGCCCTGGACAGGAGGGTGAGGTAAAAATTTAATAAATCAAATCAATGATGAGATCAAATCAAAGATGAGAAGTGCTTGCCCACTCCAGAACAGCTGATTTTGGGAGGGGTGTTGAAAGACCTGAGTCAGATTGAGGTGACGAAAGAGGAGGTCCTAAAACTGATAGACAACTTAAAAACTGATAAATCACCAGGCCCAGATGGCATACATCCGAGAGTTCTGAAAGAACTCAAATGTGAACTTGTGGATCTCCTGACAAAAATATGTAATCTTTCCTTAAAATCAGCCTCCATTCCTGAGGACTGGAAGGTAGCTAACATCACTCCCATCTTTAAAAAGGATTCCAGAGGAGATCCAGGAAATTACAGGCCAGTCAGTCTGACGTCGATACCGGGTAAATTGGTGGAAATCATTATTAAGGAAAGAATTAGTAGGCATGTCGATGAACAAAACCTATTGAGGCAGACTCAGCATGGGTTCTGTAAGGGAAGATCTTGTCTTACTAACCTGTTAGTGTTCTTTGAGGGGGTGAACAAACATGTGGACAAGGGGGACCCAATAGATATTGTTTACCTTGACTTCCAGAAAGCTTTTGATAAAGTTCCTCATCAAAGGCTCCTAAGTAAGCTCAAAAATCATGGGATAAAAGGACAAGTCCTTTTGTGGATCAAAAACTGGCTAATTAATAGAAAACAGAGATGGGCAATCTTCTCAGTGGAGGGTGGTAAGCAGTGGGGTACCGCAGGGATCAGTACTTGGTCCACTGCTTTTTAACTTGTTCATTAATGATTTGGAGATGGGAGTAAGCAGTGAAGTGGCTAAATTTGCGGATGATACAAAGTTGTTCAGGGTGGTGAAAACCAGTGAGGATTGTGAGGCACTCCAAAGGGATCTGTCAAGGATGGGCGAGTGGGCGTCAACATGGCAAATGGGGTTCAATGTGGCCAAGTGCAAGGTGATGCACATTGGAGCCAAAAATCCTAAATATAAATACACATTGATGGGGTCTGAACTGGCAGAGACAGATCAAGAGAGAGATCTTGGAGTTGTAGTAGATAACTCACTGAAAATGTCAAAACAGTGTGTGACTGCAATTAAAAAAAGGCCAATGCTATGCTGGGGATTATTAGGAAGGGTATTGAAAACAGATCAGCCAATATAATAATGCCCCTATATAAATCAATGGTGAGACCTCATTTGGAATACTGTGTGCAGTTCTGGGCACCACACCTTAAAAAGGATATTATAGCTTTGGAAAAAGTGCAGAAAAGGGCAACTCGAATGATAAAAGGGTTGGAACACTTTCCCTATGAGGAAAGGTTAAAGCGCTTAGGGCTCTTTAGCTTGGAGAAAAGACGACTGAGGGGTGACATGATCGAGGTTTATAAGATTATGCATGGGAAAGAGCAGGTAAAGAAAGAGGTACTTTTCTCCCTTTCTCACAATACAAGAACTCGTGGGCACTCCATGAAACTGCAGAGCGGTCGGGTTAGCAGTGGGAGGGCTTCTTATGTCCTGGCCCCACTGCTGGACCTCCTGATATTTTTGGCCACTGTGTGACAAAGTGTTGAAGTGGATGGGCCTTTGGCCTGATCCAACATTGGCGTCTCTTATGTTCAATCCTTCCCTCCACCCCCCAAGGGAAAAGACTGGGTCAAGCAGTCAAGGCCCTTACCTCATAGTACAGGTCCCCGTGGATCGTCAGTTTCGGCTTGGTCTGCCACTTGAAGAAGGCGTCATGCAGCTTCTGATAATCGATATCGATTTTGCCCATCTTGGGGCGAACTTTCTCCCTCATCTTGGACTTCATGGTCTTCTGTTCCTCCTGGGAGGGGGCACAGCAGGGGAGAAAGTTACACAACCACAGCAAGCTTCACATTTTCCTTATGAGGGACAGATTCAGATGACTGGCAACCAAACGGTGCCTGCCGCAAAAGGAGGCGGCCATCTACCTGCAGGTGTGTGTACCCGGCATCACCACCTCTGTGCCGTTAAAACCCTGTGCTCAGTCATACAGGCAGCCGGGTGTGTCTGCTGAGATTCCATTCAATTGCAAAATCTCAGCTTCCCTTCTGAAAAAAACACATATTCCTTCTGGATATGGCGCAGGGCATGAGCAGGCTACACTGCTGGAATCTCTGGAGCCAGACTGACAATGGCCAGTGCGCTATACAGCTCCTCGCCTTTCCAAAGAGTATGAAAGCTAAACATCGTTTTTGCATCACTGCAATTAAGTGCAGGATTCAGTTCCCATCAGCACACAACCAGGATTTTCCTTTGGCACGTGCAACCTTGGCTAGGGATCATAGACGCTTTGCTGCAATCAGGCAGAAACATTCTCTGAAAAGGGGCCATGGCTCAGAGATAAAGCAAAAAGCTCTGCAAGCAGAAGTCTGATTCTGGGCATCTTAAACCCAAGAAGGATCTCAGGTGTTGGGAAAGTCCAACCTCTGCTTGAAATCCTGGAGAGTCACTGGCAGGTAGAGTACACAATACTGAGCTAGCTGGACCCACGGCTGGACCTGGTACAAGACAGCTTTGAAGGTTTGGGCATTCTGGAAGAGTTGCCAGTACAGAGGAACCCACTCCAAGGAAGCAGCCCTGGGTCCCCTGAATCACTTGCATTAGGGTGAACATCTGTAGTGGAGCACCCACACTCCACCTCTTCTCATGATACCTCTCTCCTCTCTCTCTCTCTCTCAAAGCCAGAGCAAAGGTGAAGTCTGGGCAGATTCTTGGCACTCCCTTGAGGTTGGCTAATGAGAAGAACAGCACAGAAAGACACCCTCTGGGACACCACTACCAGTGCCTCACGTTCAGCATGAACTTCACTGCACTAAAGGCTACAGACCCTTGGCCCTACTGAGATCCCTTTTCTGGAGAGGAGTGTGGTGACAGCCTACCTTCTCTTGCAGGGCCTCCCTCATCTCCTGGATCCCTGTGCGCTTGATGAACTCGGGCAGTTCAAACGGCGGCTTCTCAATGCCCCTCTTGCCTTGCAGGTATTTGCGCTTGAAGCACCAGTGCCGTGGGACTGGGACGGAGTTGCGGGTGGCCTTCAGGTGGACCAAGAGTTTGGGGTCCTGGGCTGTCACGTCATGCATCTCCACCACGTCAGGGCGGGCCACAAGCTGTGGGGGACACACACACACACACAGGGATGAACTAGGAAAACTTCACAGACCCCAAAGGCCAGACAGTAGCTTGTTCTGGGGCCTGAAAGGCTTGACTCAGTCATGACTCAGAGGCTGTGCCCCGCTTCAAGCCCACTGGCTCAGAGTGCCTCCAATCACACACACAGAGAGCAACTGCTGAACCATCACACCCAGCCCCACAAACACACAGGAACATTAAAGCAAGGAATCCATATCAAAAGGTATAATAACCTAGAGGCAGGCGACAGCCCCCCAGCACCTCTCCCTGCACCCAGCCCAGAAAAGCGGGATGTCCCAACATTCCTTTTCGCAGAACACCCCAGACAATGGGACTTAGGGACAGTGGCAACAGTCCCCGCCCTCGGGGGACTCTCAAATAACAACCACCAATAAGTGAGGACGATTTGGAGGAAGAACCAATGAGAAAACAACCCCTGATTAAATCAGGGGGAGAGAAGGAAGAGTCCTTCGATTCCTCTTTCACCTGTTAAGCCAGTGCGCCTGCTTTCCCACCCCCCACTCGACAGTACCTGTTTGAGTTCAGCTACAGTGAAGCGGTTCATTCGCCGCAGCTTCTTCTTGGAGAGTTTCGGGGCTTCTGGCTTCTTTTCCTGAGCGTATTAGAGAAGGACAGGCTGCCATTTCTATTATTTGTTAACTGTATTTCATTTCTGCTTTAAACATTACACAGATTTCAACAACAACCTCCCTGCCACAAAAACATCCACCCTGGACGCCCCTAGAAAAGGGGTCCCCAACCCTATTGAGCCTGCGGGCACCTTTGAATTCTGAGATGGGGTGGTGGGCACAGCCACCAAGCGGCTGCTGCAGGAGGCAAAGCCAACCACAAAATGTCAGGGGGTGAAATTATCAATAACTTCAACAGCAATTCTTCAACAGTTCATGCTGACTTGTTAAAATTCTTTTATTTCACTGTCAAGAATTTATCAAAGATTTAAGATCTTTGATTAGTAAGCCTATGTTGACTCGATCCATTTCAAAGATGTTCTATTCCTTCGTAATCCTGCCACTGTAAATCTGTTCTTTGACCCTCTGATCTTTAAGCAACCATATCTCAGTCAAGGGTCAGGTGCCTTTATTATCTTTCATGGGAAACGTACAAGGTTTGTTTTCTTCAGGTCCCTCTTAGGAATGTGGAATGTACTATAAACAGAGAGTAGAGTGAATTATGTTTAAGAATGGAATGGTTGGACCTCTTTTTCCCAAATACTAGGCCCTGACCTTTAGCCTGTTTTATCTTATAAAGGAAGAACTTTGAATCTTGTTCAATATGCCATCTTGGTGGGGAGAACAGAGCACTCTCTCAAGCACACATTAAGAATTATCATTCTCTGTCAGCCAAAGCCCTGAGTCTTCTCTCTCTAGACTTGCGGGGGGGGGTGGGGGGGGAGATTGTGCTAGGTTTTAGCGAACTCCCCTAACAAGAAGCTCTGTCTATCAGGATGCCTTCAAATCTGCACAGCCAATCACAAGCACTGCTGGGCAAAAGCCTCATCTGGCCCTGCCCATTTCTAAAGGCACCTGGTAGATACCAGGAAAGGTGCTGGCAGATGCCATGGTGCCCATGGGCCCCATGTTGGGCACCCCAAAGCTCACGGGGGGGTGGGGGTGGCATGAAAGATTCCCACACCATGCTGTTTGAACATTATTATCCAGTGACCACAGATGGACTGCCCTTGAACATGAAGGTTTTACTCTTAGTTATTGCAACCTGCAGTCAATCACAGACTTCTCCTTCGCAGGGGGGAAGAGACAGCTCCTACCTGTTCGTCATCTGAGCTGTCATCACTGTCCTTCCGTTCCTCCTCAAAGCCCTTCTTCTTGGGGGCAGCTGAACTGGCCACCTTGTCTGCCTTTTCTGGTTCCTTCTCCTTGTCTTTCTTCACATCATCCGTCAACTGCAGAGACAGAAGGTCAAAGAGCTGGAGCCAGCAGATTCCAAAAATGAAACAGCATGAAGAAGGAAAGTTGGGCAGGCATCCTTACCACATTCAGACTACTACTTCTTTACTGGATGGCATACCTAAATTCCAACCACATTTCCCAGAAGGCTAGATAGACAAATACTGGCCCCTTTAGAGAGCCTTTCGTGATAGAATGCCAAAAGGCCCAAATTTCACTCAAAAGTGGGACATTCCCTGCTAGTTTTGGAACAATTCTAAAATTTGCTAACAATGCACCGCACATGGGAAAGGTATGCTTTTGGAGTCTGCAAATATGAGACTCACAGAAGATTCTGGATTTTACAAGAACTGGGGGTGAGGGGGCAGCAGTTTCCCCATAAATCTGGGAAAGCATTTAACCACATTGTTGTTGACATTAAAATATAGGGTCTGATTTCTTAAATCAGGGGCACTTTCCCAAGACAATTTCTAAACACCTTTCCCAAAAGGGGTGAGAAGGAACTTTACCCATGAAACAAGCATGTTTAACTGTATAGCCTCATCAGTGCGCTCCAGATATTAAGGAAGCAACCATGATCCCTCCCTAGCAGGCTCCCAGCTCTTGCCATCTCCTTAGAGTTACTCCACTTTGGGGAGGGAAGTAAACAGAACAAGGAGAGAAATACACCACTAAGCCGCAAGCTCCAACTCACCTTGAAAGCCTCAAAGATCCTCTTGAAGAAAATGAAATTGGGGTCATAGATTTCAGGCTCCTCTGTGACATACTCAATCTCCACGGGGGCTTCAGCCCCTGACTCTTTCCCACGCCCTTCAGCCTCCTGGGTAGCTGCGCCCTCTTTCTGGGCTGTCTGCTGCTTCTTCTTTTTCTTCCGGTTCCGCCGTTTTCGGTTTTTCTGCCAACAAAAAGGGCTTAATTGTCACTTGCTCTTTAGCAGTGCGTCCTCTCCCCTGGGCCCCCAATTCCTTATAACATACCCTTTCTGCCAGCCTGGGAAAAACTTTGTTCGGCTCCCACTGGAGAGCTTTCCCAGGTAAGATCTACCTTGTTCCTGTGCAACTTCAAAGCCACAGCCATGCTCTGATGGGAAGCAACAGTGGCCATCATAGGTCAAGCACTGGAGGGCTAACAGCATGCTGCACAGAGAAGTTGCTACTGGCTGCCGCTCCTACCTGGATACAGCGGTGCAGAGGGTGGTTTTTTAAAAAACAGGTTCCTGACTCTTAAGCCAAGAAGAGCAGGGCCTCCTCACCTCTTTTTTGGACAGAGTGGATGCATCTTCCTCTGCATCTGAAGCAGAGATGCCGGCTGAGGCCATCTCCATGTCATCATCTGTAAGGAAGGCAGAAGTCTGAGGAGCTGACAGTTAAAGTGGGAGGGGCGACACATACCCCTCATCTACTGAGCGGGAGATCCCAACATCCCCCTGCCAATACAGAAATTCCCACAAAACCCTCCGGTTCTTCCCCAACATTCTCAGTTTTTACTACTAGAAAAAAAGTTTCCCGCCCTTATGATAGAAAGGATTAGCTTGAGCACACCTAGAGATAACTCAGGGGCCAGACGAGTAGTTAAACAAAAATGGGGGCTTTGGTGCTCCAAGGGGCACAACACACAAAACGTACCGTTAGGCAAGAGAAATCTTTACGCACATAACTCACGTAAAGCACAGAGAACACCCGCCAATTCTACATAACTTTGTTAGTTATGGAGGAGGAACAAGAAGCTTGTAGAACACTAATGGCCGCTCCCCCGTACCTCCTGAAAGGTTTTGTGTGTCACTGCTCGTAAGTTGCTTCCATTATTCCCAGCAGGTACCAGCCATAACACCTGAAGTGAGCCCATGGGGGAAGACCATTTATGGAGAACCCTGCACTACACCTTCAACCTATGTGCCTATGCTGCCTGGCAAGGAGCCTGTTACCTGTACCGCTGGGCACAGCGGTGAGCTCTCCCTGCCGCATCTCCTTCAGCTGGAGGATCTTCTCCAGGGCCTGAGGGATCTTGGGACCCACACCAGAGTCATCCATCTGGAAGACAAAACAAGTCTTACCAGCCACAAAAGGCTTCATTTTAGTTCCCTAGTCCAGTCAACAGCTCCACCTCCCGGTCCCAAGAAGCATCAAGACTGGTACCTGTCACCATGACCAGGAAAGCCTCCATTTTGTTGGCCTCCCCCCACCCCTTCAAATTGGGTTTGCGACCAGCTCGTGCTTGCCACTCACATGGGACCCAGACAGTGAAATTTTGAGTCATTTACAGACTAAAGGGAGCCAAGACGGCAGGAGTAGAGACTCCCCGTGTGACTGCATTACACCCTCAGTGGCAAGCTAAAAAAAGAAAAGTTCATGGACAGCATGATGTGTTCAGAGACATATGAACTGGCTAGAAAGAAACTGGTCAGTTCTGTCACCAAAAGCTTTTTAGACTACTGTTCAAAGTATTTCAGCTCGAGAAAGGGGCTCTTGCCTCAACGCCTCCTATCCCTGATACACTCCTACCTAATGAAATTCCAGCGACATCAGCATCTAACTAATGTTTTCTCACTGCTTGTATGGACTTGAGGACCTCTAATTCATGGTGATGCAACACCCAGACCCTCTCTAGCATCCCTCCCCTTTCAGTCCTCATTCGGAAGATTTGCCATGTAATGGGAACTCAATCTGCCACACCTCCACCCAATTAGAAGGCTTCACTCTGAGCTCACCAGCATCCTCCGCCCCTTCCAAAGACCAGTTGCTTCCTATTAATTCCCCAGCTCCTCTGTCTAAAGCTGGGACCATCTCCCAACATGTTCTCCCACTCTGCTGTGTGTCCTGAATTTTGGCTCCATAGCTGTACTCAGCACTGCCTTGCGTGGCAGATGGCATGCACAATCTCTCTGGATTTTTCCTCTGGAATTTTACCCAGTGTCTTACTCAGGTCTTCCACTCAGACCCCAGTACCCTCTCTGCAATCCCAAACAGCCTGATTTGTACAGGTCTGAAAACTGCTTCCCAAATGTTTGAAACCTCCCCAGATGACTTCCCCATGCAGACCAAACAGGTCATATTAACCCCCTCCCCACAGACACCCAGCCCCCCAGCAACCAGCCTCACCTCGCGACTGTCTTCTCCAGGTGGAGGTGGAGGGCCTCGGGGTCTTGGGCCTGGCAGGCTTATTGGTGATACCACAGGAGTACTCCCTAGGAACAGGGCAAGCAAGTGAATGCCCGGAAGGACAGGAAAGTAGCAACACTCACAGCCAGCCTACCAGTCTCCCACTTGTTGGAAAAACGTATACTGGTTTTCCAGCTTGTCCCATTTTTAGCATTCAGTGTGGGTATAAGGGATTGCCTGCATCATCACATGGACTGGATCTAGATCAGAGCTCAAAGTAGCTGGCCAAAATACTCCTGGGAGTGCCACAGTTTCAGAAGGAGCAGTCGGCACCTACCCCAGACACCCCAGGAAAGGACACAAAGGCACATTACGGAAAGATATTGTTGAGTCAGAGAAGGAATGGAAGAGCGAGAACCCAGCCACGAAAAGTATGGGAGATCGGAGGGGGTGCAAAAACCGAAGACGCGAACCCCTCTCTTTACCCGAACCAAGAGGCCAACGATACCCAAGAAGAAGAAGTCCCGCAGGGCCAGATAGGATGGAAGCTGAACGCACAGGCTACAGAGTTCTGTTCCTTTAAACGAGGGGATGGGTATTATGGTAATAAAGAGGAGAAATACACACAGCCGGGGATGACAAGATCAGAACGAAATGAGGCCTGGGAAACAGCTGTGAAGTAACACTGTCCGGGGGGGTTTCGGACTGATAAATAGGGAGAGACCCGTTCGTGGCTCTCCCTATAGAGTTCTGAGGTTGTTGTGGTATTATGCCTCATATTACTTTAACCTACGCCCCTCGTTGCGGACCCGGACGTCGACAGGACCAGGGGACGAACGCTATTCGTGACACAGAAGGAGGGCAAAATAAGGACAGGCACTCCTACTTAGTGAAGTCTACGAGACTAGTTATCACAGCCAGCAGACAATCAACCAGAAAAGCAGCATTGTGTATTCTACAATACACAAAACACCCTGGATGTTTTCATCTAAGAAGCAGAACTCCACTAAAGTTCTCCAATAGCTTTCTTTTTAAAAAAAAAAAAATCGCTAACTCTCTCAGGTTTAAATTTTTTAGAACACCACCAGATGGAAGGCAGAGGGGATTAATATGATTGTGAAGGGGCGGTTGACCTTCAGAGTTTCTTACAACCACGACAATTCTTTCAAAGTTGTATCCCTGGACAAGGAAACCCAGAAAATACAACAGGAATTGTGAGATCTTCATTTAGATTAAGTTGAACTCACTGCCTAGCTATCATAGATGGCCTCAACCCTTCTCTGGGACTTCAGCAAGGGTTTAATAAACCAGGCAACTGAAGCTCTGTTTGGTTCAGACTGAGAAAAACCAACAAGAGAGAGGACCCCTCACCCGAGTATCACTGAAACAAAGTTCAGGCTTCCAAGGTGTCTCTGTCCACTCCAAAGCAGGGAACACTACACCCTTCCTAGAATGCCAGAGAGGGGAAACTTGGGGACATCCCACTATAAACATGCCCCCCTTCATAAGGATGGCGGGGGGAACGACCAAAAAAGAACACACCAACAGGCCAGAAAAAGGCTCATCCTCCAACTAAGTGGCTTCTGCAAGCCTGCTCAACACTTATCTGCCTTCCTTGTGTGAACAACCCTCAGCCCCCTTTTTTACCCAAGGAAGTTCACCTCTTGGGAGCCCCTGAGGTCTCGGGCCCATGTCTGGAGCAGACCTTGGTACTGAGGGAGACATCTTGGACATCTCTTGATGGCGCTCCTGTTCCATAAGTACAGCAGCCTAAGAAGGGGAGTGTGGAAACAACACAGATTCAAGCCTCCTGAAGCTGAACCCCCACCCCCACCCCCAGGATCCAGGGACGATCCCAAGTCACAGAAAATGGCTACTTCAATTCTAATCCTATTAGACTGACCTGGCCAGACTTGGTGGTGGGGAGGGGAAGATTTGGACTTCCAAGTCTGACCTAGCTAAGAAAGCCAGGCTGAAGCAAGCTAAACAGAGCTAGCGTAAACGGACATTACAGTTAAAAGTCTGGATCGATATCCCGCCCTAGATCTAATTTCTCCCCCATGTCCCACCTCGCAGGAAGTGTATCTAAGGGAAGGAAGCATTCAGCAGTGTGTCCTGGCTGTCCCCAGTGTGCCACAAGCTGAGAGCAAGGGGGTCAAACAGGCATCACAAACAGTAATAGGGCAGCAGTGATAAGAGAATGAAGAGCAGAGCTGCAGAGGAACTGGTTTGGGTCCGTGGGCTGTGAGTTGAAGGATGAACTGCAGGGAGACAAGGGAATCCTATGCCTCTGACTAGACCAGGGCTGCACAGTCTGTTGCATAAGGCTACAGGGAGAACACCAGCTGCTCAACGCATGCCCTGCTGCCGGGATTCTTCACACCACTGTGCAAAGCCAGTGCACGTAACAAGAAAGAGCATAGCCATACCTGCTTCACCCTCTCCTCCTGCTGTAACAGCATGGCAGCTTGCTGCTGAGCCAGCTTCAGCCGCTCCTCCTCAGGCAACGCAGAAGGATCCACTGCCTGCATGCGAAGAGGCTGCCCCAGGCCAGGGGGCGGTGGAGGGGGGCCCACACCCATGGGAAAGTTGAGGCCCATGCCGGGGGGAGGCGGAGGGGGTGGTGGGGGCTGCATCAGTGGCATCCCCATCGGAGGCGGCGGCAGAGGGATCCCGGAGAGCTGCAGAGGTTAAAGAAGGCAGCCGTGGGAGGCTTTGGGCTTGAAAGCTGTCCTGCGTATCCCACAGGGCATGGCACAGCAGTCAAGGATTCCTTTTATTTGATAATAAAATGAGCACCAAGAATGCCACTGTGCAGGTGACAACGTAATTTTGCAGTTCCATGATGGCATAATTTGTCTGCAAGGCCAGGCATGAGGCCTCTTGCTCCCTTGCCTCACAGCAGTCGGGACAGGCTTAGAAGCACACAGCCAAGCTTCTCCTACCTTCCCATAACCAGAAGCCTCTCTGAACAGGGAGAAACAGCATAGCACCTGCTTAGCACAAACGCATGAAGAAGCACTTTTCTGTTTTTAATGGACTGCCAGAGAATTTCAGCCATTCTGTTAAAGGCTGCAGGTGGCTCTCTGGCCTCTACCACTTTCTAGAGGATCTCGTTTTATTAAGAATGAAAGGTATAGGGCTCTTGCTTTAATTTACTCTTTTAAAACATTTTGAAGCTTCAGACTGTCCCTGCTGTCACATGATAAAAGCCGGAGGCAAGAGCTGTTCTTTGAAGAGCGAATACACAATGCAAAGAAGCTTTTAAGGAAACAGCGCAGGTTTGGCAAAGAGAACCCGCTTCAAGTTTCAGCAATACCCAGCAAAAAGATGTGTCACACAAGCACAGAAGCTGCTACTAACTCCTCACCCCTTACGCTGTCTACTCTTATGTGCAGAACAAAGTTTGAGTCCAGTGGCACCTTTAAAACCAACAACATTTTGCCGGTCTTAAAGGTGCCCCTAGACTCAAACTTTATTCTGCTGCTTCAGACCAACATGGCTACCCACCTGAATCTACTCTTCTCAGAAAGAAGTCTTTCCCAGACATGCTACCTCCCCCTGGAGATGCCAGGGATTGAATCTGGGACCTTCCGAATGCAAAAGCATTGGCTGTACGAGTGGACCTTCCCCCAAAGCTTCCAACTGTGTTCTTGGATGAATCACTCACCTGTCCCGGCATGGGGGGTGGGGCTGGCTTCTCTCCTTCATCTCCCCGCAGAACTGGCCTATTGAGCACTATACCCGTCTGCAAAAAGGAGTAGCTGCTGTTAGCATTGATTGAACAGTCTCTGCACTAGGAAGCTTACATTAGAACAGTTTGGGTGTGATGCAGATCACTACAAAACATTACCTTACTACAGCAGAAAGGGTACAGGACCATAAGGGAACTCTAAATCAGCATCTTTTTCTGCAATTGCTTGTTATTTATTTAAAACATTTCTGTGCTGCTTTCAACCCAAACAGGGTCCCCAAGGCAGTAAATATCAAAACATTTCAACAATAAGACACGGAATATGTTAAAACAGCATTTAAAATAGAGTGCATATATAAAATATTTAAATAATTGAACAAAATCATGTAGACATGCAACATGCACACAAATAGAGAGGAGGGCCAGTAACAGTTGGGGGGGGGGGGGGGGGGGACAGATGAATTAAGGCCAGCTAAAGCCTACTTAAAACCTACTTCCCATTTCTTGAATACACGTGAAAGCACACTTCAAATGTCCAGGCACACATACAAAGTCAGAGATGCTCTTTTCTTCAACACAGATTGACATCACAGAGCCCTCAGTACCACCGCCCCCTACACCACTTCCTTAACACCCAGTTATCTTCCAGTGCTCTCCAAAACCTGCAAGCTAGGCCAACAGAACTCATGTCCACACAAGACAGCTCTTTGGACAACCTTATCTCCAAGAGAAGGATGCCCCAGGCAGTTGTTTATTTAAAAGATTTATTTGCTACCCAGCCAGGGCCACCAAGGCAGCTAATAACTAAAAAGAGAGCAGTATAAAAATGCACCATAAAATAGGTTAAAAACCAGAGCTAAAATACATATACATAAAAACAGAGAGATATTGATTAAAAACATAGAGCATGGAGAAAGGAAGGATTACTGAGGGAATGCCAGATAATGAAGTCTTCACCTGCTAGCAGAAGACAGAGATAGGAAGGGCAAGACAAATATCTCTGGGGAGGACACCACAACCCAAAAGGCCCTCTCTCAGGTTGCCACCAGCCTTACCTGAGAAAGCAGGGGCACCTAAAGCAGAGCCTCAGAAGTTTGTCACGGCAGTTGGTCAACATGCTGGCTGCAACATTCTGTACCAAGTAAGCTTTCAAACACTATTCAAGGGCAGTCCCAGGTAGATAGCATTGCAGTAGCCTAATCTAGTTACCAGGGCATGCACAATGGTGGCCAGATCTTTTCTGCCTAGGAAAGGCTGCACCTGGCTAACCAGACAAAGCTCTTGGTCACAGCTGTCAGTTGCTTATCCAGCAGTAGGACTGGGTCCAGTAGCATCCCCAAGCTACAGACCTGCTCCTGCAGGGGAAATGCAACCTTGGCCAGAACAGAAGACCCCCTAATTCCCACATCAGTTTTTCCACTCACCTGCAGTTATTTCTATCACATAGGAATTAAGCTTTAGGCTATTACCTCCACCCACCCCAAAACGACATCCAGAGTTTTTAAAGCTTCCCTGGGATCAGCTGGAAGTACGAAATAGAGACAAGGTCATCCATATATTGGTGACAGATCAACCCAACTCTCTAGATGATGTCATTTAGTAGTTTCATGTCAATGTTAAATAGCATTGGGAACATTGCAGGACTCTGTGGTGAGAGACCAAGGAACTGAGCAGCAGTCTCCCATCCTCCAGTACAAAACATAACCTCATTGTTAGCAACTAAAAGAAAGACCTACCTGAAGTGTGTATGTCTGCAACCGTTCCACCAGCTCCTCACGGCTACCTGGAGAGGACCAGAGAAGGTGATAGCATTTACCATGCACTGAGTAAACTAACATGGCCCCAGAAGACCACAGTTGCTGCACAACTATGGAATAACCTTCCCCTAGGATGAATGCTAAAGAAGAAAAATTCTCTTTCAGCTAATTCATTCTCTCCCTGACCTGAGCTCTCCAAGCTTCCTTGTGCCTCTGAGCTACTGAATCTCCAACTGTTTTAGAATAAGCCCCATTTCAGGCAGAGTCTAATTTATTTGAATTTTTAACTTGCTGTTACTGTTTAAATTCTGATTTTCAATGTTTTACAGATGTAATTTTGTGTGATCCTTTGAAATATCATTAAATACAGCTTAGAAATACCTGCACCTAAATAAAGATTGAATCAGGACCTTCTCTTCCCCTGATCCACACTAAGATTCTTCTTCTATCCTGTTTTCTACATGTTTCTCCTCTTGCTCCCCCCAAAGAAACAGCTAAGCTTCGAGCCAGGAACCCCTTTCCCTTGCTTCAAGCCTTACTCCTGCCATAGACTCATAGAGTGACCTGTGGCATGCCTCTCTCAAATGCAGTTCTTTGCCAATAAGGGGAAATAACCGTGGCAAAACGTACAGGTCAATGTTGAAGATTACAACCCATTTATTTACTTTTGCATCCTGCCCTTCCTCCAAGGAATCGAGGGTGGTACACGCGGCTCTTCCTCCCTCCGGCTTACAATAGCTGTGTGAGGTAGGACATGGGTAGAAACAGTACCTCAAAAGCACCCAATGAGCAGACTCAAAATTTGACTCCGGGCCTCCAAAGGCCTAACAATATGAGAATATAAACAAAACACTTCGTCCCTACTCCAAGAACAACAGAAAGAAGTCACACCACTCACCTTGCGTGGGCGCCCCGATCTCCGCCAGCTTCGCCTGGAGCTCGTTGGGGGACCAGGCCCCGTATGCGGGCAGGGGAAGCTCCCCCGCCTGCGGGGTCTCAGAATGCGGCTCGGTCGCCATCTTGCCTTCTACACCGCCCGGTGAACACCTAAGTTCCCAAGGAGGCTATGCGGCCACCGTAGACAGTTCTGTGGAGAACGACAAAAGTCCGCGCGATCCCAACCAACCAATGAAAAGTCCGACGCGGTCCACTCCGCAATCTTGGGCATATAGTTTTTACACATGCGCTACAGAACGCCTCCAGCCAACTGCGCGTGCGAAAGCATAGCCAATCGGAAATCAGGATTGCCCTCAATTCGTTAAACTGAAGTTTGGTGGTTTCTGGGATTTGTAGTTGATTATATAGCACTCACTGGAGAAGACCCTGATGTGGAAAGATTGAAGGTCAAAGAAGACGGGGACGGCAAAGGATGAGATGGTTAGACAGTGTCATAGATGCAACGAACATGAAATTGAGCAAACTTCAGAGGAGGGCGGAAGACAGGAGGGCCTGGTGGGAGCTGGTCCATGGGGTCGCGAAGAGTCGGACTCGACTGTGCGACTGAACAACAACAAATATAGCTTGGCTTTTGTTGGAGTGCTGCGAAAAGCTTCAGCTACCCTTTTCTATACGTTAAGCCTCTATTAAAGGTGAAGATGGGTGGACGTGTTAGACTGTCTGTAGCAGTAGAAAAGCGCAAGAGACCACCAGTAACGCTTTAAAGACTAACACAATTAGTAGGCAATTAACAGTAGCAGGGGCTGCTGTGGCTCAAGTGGTTGAGATGCTGATGTGCAAACTTTGGAAGGTCGACAATTCAGCAGTTCGAGGCCCGAGTGCCCCATGATGGAGTGAGCGCCCCTCGGTGCAAGAAATTGCAGATAGATAATTTCGGTGGGAAGGTAACAGCGTTCCATGCGCCTCAGTGTTTAGCCATGCCAGCCACATGACCATGGTAACACACCTAATCCAATCATGCCTGCTAAATAAATTCTGTATATTCTATTTTTGTGTATCCTATTTTCACATAACAATAAAGTTAATGTGCATAAACAATGTAAACTTATTCAATTTATATAATAAAGCCTCAGGTTTATACAGTGTTCTCACCTCACAGTGCATACAAATCACCAGCACAATGAATTGTTGACAAGGCCTCTCCATTGCAGATGCTTTATATAGTTTATAATATACACTCTAAGTTTATATTATTATTTATGTACATTAATTTTATTCTTATGTAAAAATAGGATACAGAAAAATAGAATATGCATAATTTATTTATTGTTTGGTACTGCAGTTTGCTTTTAGATTATTGCTTTTGGATTATTTCAGATTCAGCAACTGAAATCATTCCGCATCTGAAATCACTCCAGCAGCTGAGAAAATAACATTCCCCCCAGCCTGCTTTACTTTGGGAAAATGGCATGGGGGCTGGGGCATCCAAACTGGGCCTGATGTACTTAGGAAAATAAATTCCCCACCCTGCTGTCTAGCTGTGGGGAAAGCTAATTCGTTTTTTTTAAATGTGTCATTTGGCTCCTAGACTGTGTTTATTAATGGGTGCGGGATAGACACTGCACATTCTCAGATACAGTCCAATCTTTGAAGCCCAGCAATGAAGTCCTGGTTCATATCGAAGGTAGCCAGGATAGCTAGCCTGAGCAGACAAATGTCAAGAGTACACAGAATGAAGAAAATTGTCTAATAAATGTAACACAATTGTACTGCAAGCCTAGGTATGTCTACTCAGAAGTAAGTCCCACTGTGTTATTTGTACTTACTCCCAGATTAGAATGCATAGGATTGCACCTTTTGGCGCTTAATAAAAGTCTAAGGCTATGTTGATTCTCTGTGCACAGCACCCTGTGGGAGCAGGGCAACAATCATTGCTCCAGAAGCACCTTTCCACCCTTCAGGTTAAACACTTTTAGCTGTCTGCAAGGAGGTGGCAGAATGGGTGAGCCAACATGGTGTAGTGGTTGGAGTGTCAGGCTAGGATCTTGGTTCAAATTTCCACTCCACCATGATAGATGCTGGATAACCTTGGGCCAGCCACATGCTCTCAGCCTTACCTGGTTGCTGTGAGGATAAAATGGGTAAGTGTGAACCATGTTGCTCTTCTGAGGAAGGGCAAGGTAAAAATGCACCAGAGAGACAGATAATTATCCCCACTATTTTAGGTATCCAACAACTTGGAACAAGGAGACCCAAGTGGCAGTCTCTGTTGAAGAGTGTGGTGTTACAAATGGCAGTCACACCTTAAATACTAACAACGTTTTTATTTCAATACAAGCTTTTCAGAGTCACAGCTCACTCCTTCAGATATGTGAAGGGGGTTACAAGTCATCCATGACAGCTCTCACATTAAGGCAGATAGCTGCCTCCCTACTAGAACTGGCCAGAGTGATCCCAGCACTGAAAGTGTTCCTTTTTAAATCTGTCTTCGAGGCTGAGGACAGATCTTGCTTGCCCTCTGTTGCTTATTGACCAAATGAGATTTCTTTACTTGCTGCTTCCTCCAGTACACAGTAGATGGCAGCAGTGTATAACCAAACTCCCATTAGTGGAAGCAGACAGAATTTGGACATATTAAAAATATTTGGCCTCCTTTATTAATTTGGTCACCCACCACTCTACAGCTACATGCGGTTCTGGGTGTTCTTTGGGATCGTTTTGTATTGCTATGTGGCGTATTTCATTCCAAAATTAAAATTACTACAAAGTCAAAATATAGGTTTGAATTTCACCTCAGTTCTCATTAGCTATGGGAAGAAGCTAAATTTGCAGACACTAGTTGCAGGGTGGGGGGAGGCCATCAAACCTGGGCTTCATACTAGAGAAGAACACCCCATTAACACCATTGTTCTGGCTGCTGGATAACAATATTTTTCAGATAAAAAGAGAGTTTCTGATACATCCATTCTTAATGCATGTGCATTTCTCAGAAGAAAAGACAGAACTGGGGGGTGTTTCTGATAATATTAAGGAGATTTTCTGCACTTGGGTGAAGGTGTGGTGGAGAAAAGCAAAGGAAGGGCAATAAAGCATTTACAAGCTGCATTCCTAACTAAATTGTTGAAGTCATAAATGAACACATTTACAGAGCAGCCCTAAGAAGAGCTGCATCCTTCTGTCCAGTGAAGTTAAGGGTATAATTCTGCTTAGGACAGAACTGTTAATTATTTCATGTTAATGCTAGTATGCCTACCGGAAAAAAGGAGAATATTAATGGCCATGGAAGGAAAGGGGGACAACTCTCGTGATCCTACCTGTTATACTAATAGATAACCCAAACTAGGAGGAAGCAGAGGTAAGGACTAAAAGTCACAGCCCAGCCTCAACTTGTGTTGTGTGGCAGCCCATGGGGGGACAACACCCTCCACTAGGGAAATACAGAGAGTTCTCAAGCCCTGCTGCCCCCAGAGTTCACATCCCTACTTGCTTTGGTTTGCTAATGATAATCTCACACTGAAGCCTGAAAATGCAATTTCATAATGAACACTATCCTTTGAAAGCTATTGAATTTGAAAGAGGGGCATTAATTGTTTGAACAATTATTTTTTAAAGGAAAGGAAATCTGGAGTGCTTTCAGCCCCACTGCTGGACCTCCTGATGGCACCTGGTATTTTTGGCCACTGTGTGACAGAGTGTTGGACTGGATGGGCCATTGGCTTGTTTTATGTTCTTATGGTGTCTTGGGTGTTTTACTGGTTATGTTGAATTGTTCAAGTAAGTAATAATAACGGGAAGGAGGTTCTGGCATTTCTATCAATGCGGCTCTTTCAGTGGCCTGCACTCTTAAGGTTTATATAAGCCACTATGTTTAGACCACTAATCCTGCTTATGTCACCTGTTCAAAGGGACTTATTCAAGACTGAGCCGATACTGGTGGCTTGGTTTCTGAAAATTCTCTACTCATCATGAAGATATGCTCTCCTGGGAGAAAGGGCCTCATTATCTGGCAGCTGCCTCTCCAAACTCACTGATGGAATGACATCCCGGGCAAAACAGCTCTTTTGTTCTTTTGATACATCAGTTTGTGGAGATGCAATTCTGCAAAGAATGCTTCAGGAGAAATGGTGTGGGTTTTCTTTTAGAAAACAGTGGGGGAAGGAGAGGTTGTACGAAGATGGGGATACATGAGCCACAGAAGAACATTTTACCCTTCAGGAGAGCTAAGGGTGTTATCCACACAGTGACAGCCTTGTGTAGTTTCCCAGTGGCTGCCAATACAGCACAGCAGCAATGGCACTTCTACATGGTAGTCCCCCCACAGCCATTTTCTGTGCACCACCACCAGAGGGCTTTGTTTATAAATCAGCAATTGTAATGTTGTTATAGCATTGTAATGATATAACAATTTGTCTGCCAGGTTCTCTGAATTCCCAGCTTTCATTGTTTTTAAAAAAACACCCAACTCTAGCCCCTTTCATTGCAGAAATATAAGGAGAAAAGCATAGGTATGGGGGAGATTAAATTAAAAATGTATTCCCCCCCCCCCAGCCCCCTGGTCTTTTCATATCGTATAAATCTTTCACCTTTTAAATCTCTCTTTGGCTCTGCATCTCTTTTGGCACCTTGTCCCAACACTCCATGCTCTGAGCCACAACGGGGTCTCTTCTCATTTGTTACCTGGTGGCTCGTCTGACCTTGGCTTGATTCCACAGTGCTCTGTGTCCTTCGATGAAAGATTTCAGTGCTCAGACAGAATTACAGCAAAGCCTAACGATGGTACTGTTGCACACAACAAAGTCTCAACTCTGAAAACGACACAGAAGTCACCTGCCTCTCTGACCACCATGGTCTCTTTCTCTTCAGGAGTGAGAACACTATCAGCTTCACACTCCAACCTCCAGCTTTATAGCAAAGGATCCCAGTGGACAATTTCCTTCTGCATGACAAAAAGATTTCCACCAAGCGAGATGTACAGTAGATCCCCAAATACTATACCCTCCAAAACAAACACAATTATTTCTCCATGATTCTGATGTATTTCGGGCATTTTGAAAAGTCGGGTATGATGCTTTGCAAATGGAGGCGGCGTGTGTTGGATGAACATAAGAACATAAGGGAAGCCAATGTTGGATCAGGCCAATGGCCCCTCCAGTCCAACACTGTGTGACACAGTGGCCAAAACCCAGGTACCATCATAAGATCTACTAGCGGGGTCAGAAATATAGAAGCCCTC